TAGATATACACTACTACATATACTTCATTAACCGGTACAGCATGCGGTCCAGAAGTAGAGCTAATTACTTAGCACCCAGAAGTAACGAGTTCGGTTCCTTTTGCAGGATGACTCAAGTCCAATCAGCTGTGATGAACAACTGTATCTAATGTATGAAAGACTATTCGCCTTTGCATAAATATTCTCCCTTCATATACCGAGATAAAAGAAACAGATAAACTCTACTTCCTCTATGCTAGATCTAAGAAGACCCCTTCCTTTTTTGTAATAATGTGTGTTGTGTATGCATGGACAGAACAGGCAATGTAAAAAAAAAAAAAAAAAAAAAGCTGCGAAGAAAATGTAGTTGGGAAATAAATTAACACAAAGGGAGAGAACTCATGGCTTTAAAAAAAGGGGAGAGAAAAACGTTTTGAAGCGAACACCAGGAAAATGTGGCGTGTCACGCACATATAAACATATCAGACCAGACGTATGGGGTAGGACACACGTAGGCAGGATACTGTAAATTACATGTCTGAGGCGAAAAAAAAAATACCATACACTCTAAACATCCACCACACTATCATACAAACACCATTCTAATATATACACACCATACTAAAAATACACAAAGTTCTAGTATAGATACACCATTCCAATTTTCTCCCCACTCAAACATGCACGTAAATTTCAAATACAAAGTAATTAGTTTAAAATTAGCTCTAATTTTATATTTTTTTACATTTAGACGTTTTGTATTAGATCTATGTATAATTAAACCATCTTAAATGAATGAAAGCAGGCTACAAGTAAGAATGAAATATTACTATTGTGAATCTGTATCAGTTCTCTCAAACCGATGATGAAAACAGTAATACTAAAGCGAACACACAACTGACGCTATAAATTACGTGTCTGAGGCGAAAAAAGAAAAAAAAACTTCATAATCAGTTAAGACGTGAAAATACCATAACAAAGTAGAAAAATCGCAAAAATTTAGATACGTTGATTTCACAAAGGCAAGAGACACTTAGAAAAGACACCACAACAGCAATCAATACACTTCCAAACACATTTAGAAAAGAGACACACTTAGACAAGACACACTTCAGGACACACGCACCAAGACAAAAGACACACTTAGACAAGACACTCACTACAACTGTACCCAAGACACACTTCAAGACACACGCACCTAGACAAGAGACACACTTAGACAAGACCACAACATTACCGACACACTTCACGACACACAACTCACATCCCCACCCCTACCCCATCCCCCCTCTTACTACAACAAAACCACTTCTTCCTCACTGAACCAGAAGATCAAAATAACCATCACAATTACACATTAAACACCCGATTACCCACAACAAAGTCAACTCAACGACCCAAAACAAAGACCTCCACGATGCAAGTCAAATCGATGATGCAAGATAAAGAGCAATTTAAAATTGTTCACGCGCAATTTAAAAGACTTTTTTTTTTAATTTAAAGAGAAGACTTTTATCGCTTCAACTTGCAACAACTTAATTATCTGAAGAAGGGGAAGATTGTGTAACTATAGACTGGATGTTATGTAACGCTGTAAGGTTAGTTTAACAGTGCGCATGCTTGATTGGGGGTCGAGTGTACTGGTTTAGAAGCAATACTGCTTACGAGAATAATGTGATGATCGTTCTGGTTCTGTCTGTATGTTCTGTGTTCGTCTGCATGTAAATGGTGTGTTTCTGTCCGATGTGTGTGTGATTGTGTGCGTGCGTGTGTGTGTGTGCGTGTGTGTGTTTGTGCGTGCGTGCGTGCGTGCGTGTGTGTATGTGTGTGCGTGTGTGTGTGCGTGTATGTGTGTTTATGTGTGTATGTGTGTGTGTGTGCGTGTGCAAGCGAAAAGCATTATAATGTATGCCATAAAATGACGTTTTAGACATGTCTCCCCCCTCTCCATTATGAAAAAAGATATGTAACAGTTTCTACCCACCAACTCTCACAACACCAAACATTGCCCAGCAACATTCACTAACAACAACCATTTCCCATCCACTTCCACCAACACCAATTACGCCAACACTCATCCATTACGTCACTCCACATCAAACAATATCCACCAACACCCAGTGCACCAACCCAATCCCACACACCCTCAACACTCACGAACACCCACCTACACCCACCTACACCCACCTACACCCACCTACACCCACCTACACCCACCTACACCCACCTACCCCCACCTACACCCACCTACACCCACCTACACCCACCTACACCCACCTACCCCCACCTACACCCACCTACACCCACCTACACCCACCTACCCCCACCTACACCCACCTACACCCACCTACACCCACCTACACCCACCTACACCCACCTACACCCACCTACCCCCACCTACACCCACCTACACCCACCTACACCCACCTACCCCCACCTACACCCACCTACACCCACCTACCCCCACCTACACCCACCTACACCCACCTACACCCACCTACACCCACCTACACCCACCTACACCCACCTACACCCACCTACACCCACCTACACCCACCTACACCCACAAGTATTCTTTTCGTCCCCCAACACTAGTACACACCCACCACCATTAGCCAACACCCACCACCATTAGCCAACACCCACCAACAACAACACCAACCAACACCAACCCCCACCAACAGCAATACCCACCAACACCAGTACACACCCACCACCATTAGCCAACACCCACCATTAGCCAACACCCACCAACACCAACACCCACCAACACCAACACCCACCAACACCAACACCCACCAACACCAACACCCACAACCGCCAACACCCACCAACATCAACACCCACCAACACCAACACCCACCAACACCAACACCCACCAACACCAACACCCACCAACACCAACACCCACAACCGCCAACACCCACCAACATCAACACCCACCAACACCAACACCAACACCCACCAACACCCACCAACATCAACACCCACCAACACCCACCAACACCAACACCCACCAACACCAACACCCACCAACACCAACACCCACCAACACCAACACCCACCAACACCAACACCCACCAACACCAACACCCACCAACACCAACACCCACCAACACCCACCAACATCAACACCCACCAACATCAACACCCACCAACACCAACACCCACCAACACCAACACCCACCAACACCAACACCCACCAACACCAACACCCACCAACACCCACCAACACCAACACCCACCAACATCAACACCCACCAACACCCACCCACCAACACCAACACCCACCAACACCCACCAACACCAACACCCACCAACACCAACACCAACACCCACCAACACCCACCAACACCCACCAACATCAACACCCACCAACACCAACACCCACCAACACAAACACCCACCAACACCAACACCCACCAACACCCACCAACACCAACACCCACCAACACCAACACCCACCAACACCAACACCAACACCCACCAACACCAACACCCACCAACACCCACCCACCAACACCAACACCCACCAACATCAACACCCACCAACACCAACACCCACCAACACCAACACCCACCAACACCAACACCCACCAACACCTACACCCACCAACACCCACCAACACCAACACCCACCAACACCAACACCCACCAACACCCACCAACATCAACACCCACCAACATCAACACCCACCAACACCAACACCCACCAACACCAACACCCACCAACACCAACACCCACCAACACCAACACCCACCAACACCAACACCCACCAACACCCACCAACACCAACACCCACCAACACCCACCAACATCAACACCCACCAACATCAACACCCACCAACACCAACACCCACCAACACCAACACCCACCAACACCAACACCCACCAACACCAACACCCACCAACACCCACCAACACCAACACCCACCAACACCAACACCCACCAACACCCACCAACATCAACTCCCACCAACACCCACCCACCAACACCAACACCCACCAACACCCACCAACACCAACACCCACCAACACCAACACCAACACCCACCAACACCCACCAACACCCACCAACATCAACACCCACCAACACCAACACCCACCAACACAAACACCCACCAACACCAACACCAACACCCACCAACACCAACACCCACCAACACCCACCAACACCAACACCCACCAACACCAACACCCACCAACACCAACACCCACCAACATCAACACCCACCAACACAAACACCCACCAACACCAACACCCACCAACACCAACACCCACCAACATCAACACCCACCAACACCAACACCCACCAACACCAACACCCACCAACACCAACACCCACCAACACCAACACCCACCAACACCAACACCCACCAACACCAACACCCACCAACACCAACACCCACCAACACCCACCAACATCAACACCCACCAACATCAACACCCACCAACACCAACACCCACCAACACCAACACCCACCAACACCAACACCCACCAACACCCACCAACATCAACACCCACCAACACCCACCCACCAACACCAACACCCACCAACACCCACCAACATCAACACCCACCAACATCAACACCCATCCATCATCATTAGCCAACACTCACAAGTGTCCCTTAAATCCATCAACACCAACCCCCACCAACACCAAGGCCCGCTACTCTGGTCAACCACCAACCCGTCACCACCAACTCGTCACCACCAACCCGTCACCACCAACCCATCATGACAAGCATTCTCTTCTCCGGCCGCACGTCAATACCCAACGGCCGCGCGTCAATACAGCTCTAGCGGTGAGCTCACAGCCGCGTGGGCGTGAGGGCGCGTCTGCCGCACGTGACGGTGCCGACATGGAATTCCAGCGGGTGACGGGTACGCCGTAATGGTACTGTACTCACCTCGACGTCTCGGACACCTAAACATGATGGATATGATGTACTACCTAGGAAGATAAACTGAACAATTTTTTTTTTATTAAGCAGACGGCGAATATTTCGGCTCTAGATTTTACGGATTGTTAATTAGTTTTATTAGATTAATTACTATTACCGTGGATTAGTGTAATTAGTTTTATAATTATAATTTGAACAAAGATTGTTGTAATTTCTGTGTGAAAACAAGGATGGTTTAATTCAGATTGGATTTGTTTTCAATTCATTTTAGCTTAGGTTGATTACAGCCTGATAAATATACGGTGGTGAGTAGATACATTAGGTTATTCTTTTCTTTTATTATTTATACTTTTAAAAACATATAAGCCTACATCTGGTTATAACGAGGGCAAGAGAATTCAATGCTGTAAAATAAAAACAACCTAGTCAAATTGGTTGGGTTTCACAGAAAGTTAGCGCTCAAGAGGTTTTGATGCTGTTGAAGTCTTGAACCTTGCCAGTTATTAACTATTTCCGCACACTAATTTTTAGTTGGGACATTTAAAATTATTAAAATACGTCTATAACGCGGTTCGAAATAGACATTTTGTTTTTATAATGAAGTTTTCTGGTTGGGGTATCTATATGGGCTTTAAGTTTCCTAGTCTGGCTATTGATGGGGTTTTTTTTTTGTGGTCCTTCAACCTTTCAAATTTTCGCTTGCTCTGTATTTTATGTTCGATTATTCTAAATAAAAGAAATTTTTAACAGTAAAACACGCTAGTTGTAAAACATCAAGTTATGATAAAATATGGAAGTGAATGTTAAACATACATTATTTATAATTCTTGTATAACTTATTCATCGTTTTGAAACGTATTAAAAGAGAACCGCATTATGCCACTAATTCATCACGATAGCCAGGAGTCAGAATTTCAAGACGACCTTTTGATTATAATAAATAATTGCAAGTATTTTAAGTAGGGTTAAAGCTTGAGGGCAGTGGCGTAGCTAGGGGAGGGCGGGTGGGGCCGCCGACCCTATGGGGGCGCCAAAAGTGGTAGAAAAAAAATTGAAAAGCTTATTTTGAATTTGGGTATTTCGACGGTAAAAAGTACCAACAACATATCCGACTGTAAGGTGGGGGGAGGAGGTGCTTTTTCACCAATTTGAATAACTATAAAGAAATGGGAGGAGTGTGGGGGGAGGGCGGAAAATGAAAGTTCTCCCCAGGCGCCGAAATGGGTCGCTAAGCCTCTGGTTGAGAGGGTTTGTGGTTGAGTGGCAGAGCGTACACTTGCTCACCGCCTGTACTCTCCGTTTCCCCCCCCCCCCTCCCTCGTCCCCGTCCCTCCCTAATTGTACTAGATGGTGCAATACACCGAGGGAGTGGGGGGAGCTAAAGAATCGTATCGTAAAAAGACACCCTCCAATAGTCCGCGCAGAGCCGATGATGGGCGCAAGACGCAAAAGAAAATACAGTATGCGGTACAGCATAATGCGTAGCGCTCAATTAAAGAGTTGGATGTGAGGGCCGGATGTACGATGTTTTAACGTAAACCATATGTGCGATGTTTTAACATAAACCATATGTGCGATGTTTTAACATAAACCATATGTGCGATGTTTTAACATAAACCATATGTGCGATGTTTTAACATAAACCATATGTGCGATGTTTTAACATAAACCATATGTGCGATGTTTTAACATAAACCATATGTGCGATGTTTTAACGTAAACCATATGTGCGATGTTTTAACATAAACCATATGTGCGATGTTTTAACATAAACCATATGTGCGATGTTTTAACATAAACCATATGTGCGATGTTTTAACATAAACCATATGTGCGATGTTTTAACATAAACCATATGTGCGATGCTTTAACATAAACCATATGTGCGATGTTTTAACATAAACCATATGTGCGATGCTTTAACATAAACCATATGTGCGATGTTTTAACATAAACCATATGTGCGATGTTTTAACGTAAACCATATGTGCGATGCTTTAACATAAACCATATGTGCGATGTTTTAACATAAACCATATGTGCGATGTTTTAACGTAAACCATATGTGCGATGCTTTAACATAAACCATATGTGCGATGTTTTAACATAAACCATATGTGCGATGTTTTAACATAAACCATATGTGCGATGTTTTAACATAAACCATATGTGCGATGTTTTAACATAAACCATATGTGCGATGTTTTAACGTAAACCATATGTGCGATGCTTTAACATAAACCATATGTGCGATGTTTTAACGTAAACCATATGTGCGATGCTTTAACATAAACCATATGTGCGATGTTTTAACATAAACCATATGTGCGATGTTTTAACATAAACCATATGTGCGATGTTTTAACATAAACCATATGTGCGATGCTTTAACATAAACCATATGTGCGATGTTTTAACGTAAACCATATGTGCGATGCTTTAACATAAACCATATGTGCGATGTTTTAACATAAACCATATGTGCGATGTTTTAACGTAAACCATATGTGCGATGCTTTAACATAAACCATGTGTACGATGTTTTAACATAAACCATATGTGCGATGTTTTAACGTAAACCATATGTGCGATGTTTTAACATAAACCATATGTGCGATGTTTTAACGTAAACCATATGTGCGATGTTTTAACGTAAACCATATGTGCGATGTTTTAACATAAACCATATGTGCGACGTTTTAACGTAAACCATATGTGTGATGTTTTAACGTAAACCATATGTGCGATGTTTTAACGTAAACCATATGTACGATGTTTTAACGTAAACCATATGTGCGATGTTTTAACGTAAACCATATGTGCGATGTTTTAACATAAACCATATGTGCGATGTTTTAACGTAAACCATATGTGCGATGTTTTAACGTAAACCATATGTGCGATGTTTTAACTTAAACCATATGTACGATGTTTTAACGTAAACCATATGTGTGATGTTTTAACGTAAACCATATGTGCGATGTTTTAACATAAACCATATGTGCGATGTTTTAACGTAAACCATATGTGCGATGTTTTAACGTAAACCATATGTGCGATGTTTTAACTTAAACCATATGTGCGATGATCACATACAATATTCGTGCAATTATCTAACATACAATATTCGTGCAATGATTTAACACATAACATTCGTTCAATGAACGAACCTACAAGATTCGTGTTATAATCTAACATACAACATTCGTGCATAGCCCCAACAAACAACATATGAGCAAACGAAAAAAAAATTTCCAGAGAAAATCAAATTTAAAAAACAATAATTCTGAAACGCTAAAATTGATACATTTACAAAAAACGTATTAAAACATGTAGTCTACATCTCTTTAACTAACAAAAAAAAAATCATCGAACATTCTATTTTTGGGATTTTTTTTTTACTTGACCTTTCGACTTTACTCGCAAACTCCCAAAGGCACCGACACTTTTTTTTTCTTGAACTTCTCGACTTTACCCTAGTTATTTGGTACCCTCGCAGATCAAACTAGAGCATCTTTACATTTCATCAAACGCGAGCTCTACAGACCCGCAAGCATCTTATTCAAAGACTAACTACAGTTCATTTTATTCGACTTTTTGAACTTCGTTTTGAAAATATTGAATTGAGAAATTTTCATCAAACATGTATTTCATTGCGATTTCTACCGTTATATTATCAGAACTGAAATTTAACTTTTTTTTTTTTTATACGCTCTTTGCTTTTTAACATTCGGAATCTAATTTGCTAAATCGAACTTTTTTTTTATTTAACGTGGTATTACATTTCCATTTACTATACTTTTTACGTTTTTAGTGTATCACTGCAGCGATGCAAGTTTTTGAATGATAAAGACGGTTAGAAATGTATTTTACCGATAGGCTGTGTGTTTTACTCATAGAGAAATTTGTTGGACTACCAGACTAGTATTTTTTACCGCTTGAATAGTTTGTTGTACCGTTAATGGTATATACTATACGTCTAGTTTGGTGTGCCGCTAACGATACAGTTTTTGTACCACTACATGTATGTCGTGCTGCTAGATATTTTTCTTATTGTGCTGGTGCATTGTACCGTTAGACTGGTGTTTTGTACCGCTAGACTGAAATCTTGTACCACTAGACGGGTGTTTTGTACCGCTAGACAAAAGTTTTGTACTGCTAGACTGGTTGTATTATACCGCTAGACGGATGTATTGTACCGTTAGACTGGTGTTTTGTACCGCTAGACGGGTGTATTGTACCGTTAGACTGGTGTTTTGTACCGCTAGACGGGTGTATTGTACCGTATGACTGGTGTATTGTACTGCTAGGCGGGTGTTTTGTACCGCTAGACTGGTGTTTTGTACCGCTAGACGGCTGTTTTGTACCGCTAGACGTGTGTATTGTACCGCTAGACGTGTGTATTGTACCGCTAGACGGATGTATTGTACCGTTAGACTGGTGTTTTGTACCGCTAGACGGGTGTATTGTACCGTATGACTGGTGTATTGTACCGCTAGACGGGTGTATTGTACCGATAGACTGGTGTATTGTAGAGCAAGACTGGTGTTTTGTACCGCTAAACGTGTGTATTGTACCGCTAGACGGGTGTATTGTACCGCTAGACTGGTGTATTGTACCGATAGACTGGTGTATTGTACCGATAGACGGGTGTTTTGTACCGCTAGACTGGTGTTTTGTACCGCTAGACGAGTATATTGTACCGCTAGACGGGTGTATTGTACCGTTAGACGGGTGTATTGTACCGCTAGACGGGTATATTGTACCGCTAGACTTTTGCACCACTTGACGAGTCTATTGTACCGCTAGACTGGTGTATTGTACCGCTAGACTGGTGTATTGTACCGCTAGACTGGTGTTTTGTACCGCTGGACGAGTGTTTTGTACCGCTAGACGGGTGTATTGTACCCTTAGACGGGTATATTGTACCAATAGACTTGTGTTTTGTACCGCTAGACGGGTATATTGTACCCTTAGACTGGTGTATTGTACCGCTAAACCAATTTGTCGTGCGGTACTCACGCTAGACTATTTATAGTTCCCTATCAGACAACACCGAGTTTAGACGAGCGCTCACACCGGGGCTCACAAAACCATAACAGCTCACAACTTCCGGCTGACGTATCATTCGATTAGGCTTATGATTAGGCTTTGACGGGAACGAAATCGAACCACAAACATTGCCTCGCGTTTGGGCGAATTTCATTTTTATGCAAATAATTTGACACTGGCCAATGCTAGGAGACTGAATTGTTGATTGTGCAGAAGTCGGACGGTGGGGGGTGGGGGGGGGGGGGGGGGGGGT